GTGCTAAATCAAATAAGCCAGGCACTGAAAGACAAAATGCTGCTTGACCTCACTTGCATGTAGAATCTAAAAAATAAAACTCAAACTCACAGAAGCAGAGACTACAGTGGTGTTCTTGGGGATGGACAGATATTGGTCAAAGGGCCAAAGTTTCATTTAGACAAAGAGAATAAATTCTGGAGATCTATTATATGACCTCTGATAAAAATGTGAATGTTTAAATTTTTAAATATATTACAGCAAAAAAAACCACATTCCCATTAACCCCCCTCAAAATACTCCCCATCTCTTCAAACACACTCATCCCATTTTCTTGCCACTTTCTGCAGCAGTTCTGCAAGTCCTCTTTCGTGAGTGTCTTTAGTTGTGCTGTCATGGCTGCCTTGATGACCTGGATGGATTCAAAACCTTTGCCTTTCATGGTCATTTTGACTTTGGGGAAGAGCCAGAAATACTGTGCCAGACCTTTTGAATAAGCTGGGTGAGGACGCAGCATGTGTTTCTGACAGAAATTCCTGTACCTGAAGTGATGCATGACATGGAGCATTGTCATGATGGAGTATGAAACGGTCCATTTCTCAGGACATTTTCTACCCACATAGTTTCTTAAACACTTTAATAAGCCCGTATACTATAAGGATTTGCAATAGTGTTCCTGGTACAAATTCAGCTTGTATAACTCTTTCAAGGTCAAAAAAACCCACAAACAATATCACCTTGATGTTGGATCCTGATTACCACTTTTTTTTTTTTCCAGAAGGAAAACTGGATGAGTTCCATTGAGAACTCTGAACCTTAGTCTCAGGATCATAACCATAGACCTAAGTTTCACCTCCTGTGATAACATTTCTTAAAAAGCTAGAATCTGATGCAGCAGGATCTCACAACGCCAGTGAAACTGACAAATTTTCATGTTTCTCCTCCACCAAATTTTCTGTTAATGTATTGCTCATGATCCATGATTTATGGCACAATGTAAAACACACCTCCTGACAACCGTAGCTCACAACTGACTACACTACTTAAGATGAAAGTTGTCACACACTGTTACCAAGGTTTGACCCACCACTTCCTATATCAAAGATCCCAGCCTTGCTGTTGGATGTCACTCGGAAGGAGCATTCGCCATATTTTGCGATCATAACTTGTGCAGCACAGTGACTAGTTGAAAATGTGTAGTATACTTCAAGATGGCCAGAAATGTAGATTTTAAATGTTCTCATCGTAAGAGTGGTAAGTATGTGAGTTAGTGGATATATTAATTAGCTCAGTTAAGACATTTCACAATATGTATATACAGCATATATTCCTGTAATCCTAGCTACTCAGGAATCTGAGGCAGGAAGGTTGGAAGTTTGAACCTAGCTCGGGCATCTTAGTGACACTTGGACTCAAAATAAAATAAAAAGGACTTGGGGCTGGAGCTCTGATGGGAGAGAGCTTGCCTAGCAAGATCAAGGTCATGGGTTCCAACCTCAGTACTTCAAAAAAAAGGTATATATATAATAAAGCTTTACAGTTTTACACCATAGATAACAATATGCTAACAATTTGTTGTCAGTTAAAAAGAAATCAGAACACATAGTCTGACAAGTGATTTTGTTCTGGTTTGCAACTGTGTTCATATGGAAAATCTAGCAGGTGCTCCTGGCTCCCTACTATTGTCCTAATGCTTAACTAAGGATACGGTTCCATGACAGTCAGACCGCTTTGGCTGCTCTAGGGCACAGATGCTAAATAATAATAGGCATGGTCGTTCAGGGCTCACCTTCGAGGCCTTGTATCATGTGCAGAGCAGCACAGGGCAGAAGAACCCAGGCTTTGGTGTCCCAGTCCTCTATTTGTGCCTGATGCTGTCGCTGCCCAGCAGGCGCTGGACAAATCATCGGTAAGGGCCCAAGAGGATCGGCGGTGATACCTTCAGAGACCTGAGACACATAAATGGTGTTAACTTTACCTGTTACTTTCCATTCCTGCTGGCTGAGACTTGGCACTAAGTGTTCTGTCCCTCCCCCTCCCCTCCCCCTCCCCT